CTAGCACTTAAAATTCTTTCACAAAATAAAGTTTATATTAATGTATTCTTTTTACACATTATTACAAAAAATATCATAATTTCAATCTTAGTCCTATCCCGATTTTTCAATCACACTTCAATAGGGTCTGCATACTATTTATACATCGCAATATCTATACAATAACAACCCTGCTTTAAAAAAGTTTTTGACCTCGCTTTACCAATTTCTAGATAAATCATCATTATATTTTAGACTCTGAGTGAAACGATAAATGTATTGATTTTACAATGATGTGTGTTTTTATTTTTTATTTTTATTTTTTTTTTGTGTTGTGTCATCACCTTTTAGGACAGTAAAAATGCTTGGATTTTCTTCAACAGTATCTTTTCTGATAGGAAAGTGAATCTAGTTGGCACTTTGGGGGATCAAAAATAAAAATTTTCCAGTAGTTTTCAAAAACAAAAGAAATATTAAGGAAAAACGGGAATTTGTACGCAAAATCTGTTTTCGAAAAAATCGATTTTGGTTTTTGTTATTACTCTAAAACAAATGAACGTATATACATGATATTTTCACTGGTTGTTTATATTTGCATTTTGTATACACGATAACGATATTTCCATTTTCTATACATGATAACATTTTCAAAATATTTTAATTTGTTTTGAACTGTTCAGGGACATTTTCAGTTTCCCATTTTATTAGTTTTTTTTTCTATGAATGTCAATAAAACTTTATTTGTTGGTTAAAAAAGCTTGAAAATGTAATACAAGGCTCCTACTATATTGTTACATTGACATATAAAAAATATTAAAAATCCTTAGTCGCAGTTTTTTTTTTTATAAGCATTTAAAGTTCAAATATTGACAAAATACGTAAAAATGACAACAATTTGCAAATTATTTCAAGTTATAAATTCATAAAAATTTCCCTTCTTAAATCTAAGATATGAAAATGTAATACAAGATTCCTCATAAGTTTTTCCTCCTTTATCAAGAAACTCAAATTAAATTTTTATGAGCGTTTGAAATTCATATTTTTACAACATTTGATATTCACTGGATTTCTCATGTAACGATTTTCTTATTTTGTTTTAATTAAAAAACGAATGACTGTAGATACTTGAAAAATTCACTGAATGTTTATACTAGCATTTCCTATACACCATACAATTTTGAAAATATTTTGTTTTTTTTGAGCTGTTTACTGACATTTTCAGTTTTCAATTTTATTAGTTTTTTTTTTCTATAAATATCAATAAAATGTTATTTGTTGAGTAAAAAAGCGTGAAGACTTAATGCAAGGATCCTGATATATTGTTACAATATCAGTTTGAAAAATATTAAAAATACATAGGCACAATTTTTTTTTATAAGCATTTAAAGATCGAATTCTGACAAAATTTATCACATTTAAAATTTAATAAACTTTTATAGCTAAGGATTGAACATTTAAAATAAGATTCCACCTAAATAGGTTATAATTAAATTACTTTATTCACTTTAGTATCATCAAATATACTTTGTTATATCATAGGCTGACTAACCGTTTTCGCTCAGAATCGTTTTTCTTATACAGTGATATTATATCATTGAATTCAAATTTAATACTATCCATTATACAGTGACCCACTTGTAACCTATTGTACAACAGAGCACCTTTTTAAGTTATTTTACTGAACACTGGAGATAATTTAATATTCCTGTAACTCTGCTAGGCGCATGGCTCGCCGTCTGTGAAAAAACCTGAATAGGTACCATATACATAAGCAGTAACTATATATAGGAACTTCTTCCATTAGGACCATTAGGTATTAGTACCTATAACTAATTAAACTTCGTATTTAAAAATTAAAAAGTATCACTGCTGGGCACTGGATAACTTTTTTATAGTAACGTTTCTTTTCTCTAATAAAACTTTAATTAAGTATATTTTAACCAAACAATGACGAATAAAAATGTTGTAATAAAAATAAAAATGTATGGTGTCCGGTTTCATATTTATCAATGGGATACTGAGTCTTTGCTGTTTGAAATTTCCGACATTCATTAAATTATTAGATTATAATTAAATGTTGATTTCGCAGTTCACTAAACAAATTAAAAAATCTAATTTTGCAAGCAGTATAATTTTGTCTGGTTATACTATTATTATATTTTTAGACCCCGCGAGGGGCGTAGTTAAGTGTGAATTGTTTAATAATATATAATATAGAAGATAGCTACTGTTTCCCATGCATTTCGTTGCCCATCAAAGATGCCACTACTTATATGATTTAAACTTTGTGTTAAACTCGTTGCTTTAATACTCGGTGTAGAAAAGAATTAAACAATAATTAATTAGGTACTTACAATATTTTTAAAATCATATTTATGTTTAAAGCGGTTTTTCAGTTTAAAATATTAAAACTATAACAAGTTTATTACCAAATCAAAGATACCGTGTCTTCGGTTATGTGAAAAATTCAAAAATAAAATAACAATAACAAAACATCATACATCATGTATAGTTACAAATAGTTTGATCATTTGATTTTGAATACCTATTTATATTATATAGAAGTAGGTACAGTTTACATTGTACATACAATAATTTTATATTTATACAAGCTATCTACCTAACGCTTAAAATTCGAAATTCTTTAAACATGGCAATATTTATAAAATTTTAGTTAATGTGAATTAATTTAGTATACTCTTTTTTCTAATGCATTTTTTATCCTTATATTTTTTTTAAGTTTTTTTTACTTTTTTGAATGGAAACATATAGTTTTAATTTCATATTCCAAAGCAGAATATAAGTATTTTGATACATAAAAATCGAATTTAGGACGAGTAACTTATGAGTTGTAAGTATTTAAAGTTTTGATAGGCGGAGTGGAGTGGTACGGAGTTACCCTCAAATGTTTGTCCACTACTCCGCCGCTTGTCTAAACTTTAAATACTTATAACTCATAAACTACTCGTTCTGAATTCAATTTCTATGCATCAAAATACTTTAATTAAAAAACTATATGTTGCCATTCAAAAAAGTAAAAACTTGAAAAAAATATAAGGATAAATAATAAAACTTTTTTTTGAACAATTTGAAACTGTGGAAAAAAATATTTTCAAAAACATTAATACTTTTTGAAGTAATGAGTGTTTCATGATAAAAGAATCACCTTGTATAATGTATAAACGAAGTATGTGATATAATTATATAAACGAATTATTTTAACGAGATATTATTATTTATTATAAAAAATATTATATTATTATATATTATTATAATATTATTTATTACAAAAAATAAAGGAATACAAGTTGTATACAAATAGTAAACTGATAATATATACCGAATTATTAATCATTCCAAAAATAATGTAACACAATAAATTATAAATCAATAATAATATTTTACAATTACAAAATTTAGATAGTAAAAAATAAACATTATAGTTTATATTAGCTACTATTAAACAATATAAAAAGGATTATTATAATATTAATGAAATAATGTAATCTATTTAAAAAAATTTTTGATCACAATAATATACTTATTATTACTTGATTGTCGAGTTTAACTTTATATGTTTTTTCACATTCGCGTTTATATTGGAATACTGTAAAAAATATAAATATACCTATATTAGAGTATGTGTATTGACAGAAATATTCAATAAATATTCAACCATATTTAACCAAATTCATATTTTTAGATCTTAGGCATACGTGCAATTTTGCAATTATTAATTGCCGGGGAGTTCTGGGGACCGTGCGTGTTTTACCAAACTCTGCTCTAATTCAGACATAATATGATCTGGGTGACTGGGCATAGTTAATGTGTTGTCCGAAGTCACCCAACGTTTGGTAATAATTAAGACGATTTAACACTACAGTGTGAGATCAAGTAACTTAACAATTTGCACATATACCAATTAAAGCCAGTGACGTACCAACGTGGAGGGATTACCCCCCCCCCCCCATAAGTAAATCATTTTATTACACGTTGTATTAGACTTGTATACCATTTGTATATAAACATTTTTTTACACATATATATAAATGTTAAGCCTCCCCCCCCCATAAACGAGTTCTGCGTAGTGCGTTACTGGTTAACACGGACAAGTTAACGAATATAATATAGGTTACCGAAAAACACAATCAAATATTTCTATTTGTTGTTGTGCTAGAGTAGTCAATGTAGTTCTGTGATTAAAATATACTAATAAATATAATATTTTGTATTTACCTCCATAACATGTACTATGACACCATTATGTCATCAATAAATATTATTTTCTATAGAGGTTATAATAGATATTAACGTAGAGTATCAGTTTTCAACTTATATTAAACGTGTAATTATAAGATAACTAAAAAAACATGGTGTTGTCCGATTTTACCCCACATGTCCGAAGTCAACCCTTTTTACGGTAGTCATTAGTACAAGAATCTTTGGTTCAGACATTTTTAAGCCCCGCCCTCCTACGGACAAAGTCTGCACACGCCTATGTAATAGTTTTTTTTTTTTTTTTTATTTGAAGTAATCTATACAATCTATACATGTTCTTAGTATAATAAGTAGGTTTGATAGGTGACAAGTAAGAATGATATAAATAATAAGATTAGGGAAGATACCCAGAGGTAACACCCTATAATGTAATAGTTATCAAATAAAATTGTGTACCTATCAGAAAAAACTGTTTATATTATAACATAGATACAATATTACCTAAATATATTTGCTACTGTTTAAGTACTACAAAATATCGGTGTGTGTTTTTACTTTGATGCATTTAAGTATTTAACAAAAATGGATAATATTATAGTAGTTCCCAAATTTAGTGGCGAAATCTGGGGACGTGCCTTAGAGAATTAAATAACTTTAGCACCCTCAACATATTATGATCTCATTTAGGCTAATTATTGATTACTGTAAAAATGTCAGTTTGACATCAAACATATACACATTACATACATAGGTACATTTTGAAAATACTTACTAATTTACAGGAATCACTTGCAACTTGCAAGTTATTCTTGCATTTCATCATCTTTAGGGTGTTTCCTCTTCTTTGTTGCTCCCACCTTTACTATCTTAAGACCAATTATTGGTTTGTATTTATTGATAATCTCTCTTTTAGATTCCAGATCTTCCACTGGTAGTGCGTACACAAGCAGAGGTTTGCAGCTTTCACTGCAACGAATGCGTTTAGCACAAGCCCAACAGCACTCGTGCTCACAAATATCGTCCTTGCGAATCTATATTTTAAAATAAATATTAACGGTACATTGAAAGTTGACTTTGCGTGTGGGTATTCGGGAAAAAATAAAACAAAACTCTTACCTCAAATATGTGACTCTCACACATGAGACAATTATAACTCAATAAGTACAATTTCATTCCATTTAAGTTGTTTTGACTTAATTTTGCAAGAACTATGTCTCTTTGACTCGGAAACGTTGATTTTGATGTCTCTATAATGAATAATACAAAATAAAACATGGTTAGTCAAAAATAAAAATAAATCAACAAAAATAATGTAGCCTCGTCTCAGAACGTACCTTGCAAACTTTCAAGGTACTTGTACCAAGATTTGTCAGCGTTTTCTTGACTCATTATTTGATCGTTGATACGTCTAATAGTAACCAAAAAAATAAATTATCGTTATTACTTGTATTACACACTATATCAAAATTATATATATATATTATGTGGATTCCAACACATATAATATTAATTTACAGATTGATCAGCTTCTCTCATACATAATTTCGCAATGTACCTATTATATTATATGTATTATTATGATGTATATAATACAATGTGGATATACATTATGTTTACGATTATTTTGTAACATATTTTCGAATCCAATGTTCTCATAATTATATAATATTTTATATCGCAAATAATGAACACTTTTATTTATCTCAAAAATTAACTCCACAACAGATTATGCTCGCCCACCAAATTACTGCCAGAAGTCTACAAAACCCTGAATACTTTGGACAATAGATATTATATTATGTAAAAATAGATTTATTACAATTTACAAGTCACAGGAACGGAGTGTATACCTAACCTGAGTACTCTGATAGCATTTCGTCATTTTGATAAACATTTTTTAATTTTTTTAAAAACCTTGAACCTTCACTCGGAAGTAATATATTAGGTAATGTACTGAAATGTCATCAATGGTCGGTATCCCCCCTAAATTATATAGCTAAACTAAGTTCTGTTATTACTTAAGCTAATTTCACAAAAACTGTAATTATTGTTTTTGTTTAATTCGAAAAGTAAATATAATATATTATTTTTTAAAAAGGTATGTATTGTCTTATTATAATGCCTAGACCACCATTTTATTTGTAAATTATGATAAAATCATTAAATAAAATGTATAACAAAACTGTTAAATATATCTGCTTTAAACAAGTTACCCGGTATACTATCGATCTGCGGTGGATTCAAATGGCGCGCGAAACAAAACCCGACCGTGCAAAATCCAAAGACGTCCTTTTCTCCAAATATCGAACGCCGATACAACAACTACAGCCAATACACAACAAGAGCTGGCTGATTTCTATTGTAATATACTAATATATCGTACGGTAGAACAAGTGTCGCGTACGAGCCGAGGGGTGCCGGTTCGGAACTGTAATGCAAACAGTGCTGGCAACGTGAAACGAGCGTCCCCCAGCAGCTCGCCATATTTATAAGAGGCAAATGCGGGGGGGTATCCATTGCAATCGAGAGTTTACAGCGCCATCTGTATAAAACCCGACTGAGATACAAAATGTGAATAAAATAAAACCAGTGGTAGCGTTGAAAACGTTCGATTATGAGTGTCGATGATAAGTGATACCAGTGAGTGAGTGAGTAAAGTTGAACACATAATAATAATATTGTATTTATCAGCCATATTTTTCTCACAATATTGGTACAATTGTGACAGCGGTTGTCAGTCAGCGCGCAGACGCGGCTATTTTCTCCTTATTCAAATACTGTCTGATTTTTTCCCCCTTTGGGCTGTACTCATAACGCAATAAACGCTACGCAAAGGCTTACGCTGGCTGTCGCAGATTTTTGATTCCTGATCAAACAAACGACTTGACCGATTTTCGATTGCTGACATTATATTATGTGAGTACTACTTTATATTAATTATTTTGGTAACTAATAACTAGGTATTTAATATAATATGAGTGAGCAATTTCATAGAGTTTCAAATTTGGGGATGGGGACCGTAAATTCGTTTAAGCAAACCCGTCAGGAAATATGCCCGGGCACATACCCTTTGTTCAAACCCTTTGGTGAAAACCAAAATGGAAACCAAACACCAAAAGTATCTATGTAAATGTTAAAAAAAATATATTAATATAATATTATTATTTCATTAACAAATTAAACACGGCATATAAATATTCGTATACAATTATTTAAAATTTTACTAACGCCCATTTTAGGGGAAGGCCCCCCATCCAATTTGCGTGAAGGTAAATAATAATATTAATAATATTTATTGGCCAAAAAAAATGCCAAGTGATCTCAATGATTAGGTATATTATATAAAACATAGTTAAATAGCCCATCTGAACACTGAGGATAAATGTATTATTTTTTTGTGTATAAAAATTAATCGTAGGTTATGGATCCTACACGTAGATAAGGGTCTTTGTAAGTTCTTTGTTTACGATCGTAAACAGGGTGAACGCTGCAGGCAAAAATGGTCCGGTAATTTTTGGTGTGGAAGCCAGGAAGGGATGAACAATTTAAGTAACTATGTGTTTTTGTTATAAACGAATTGCAAACGTCTATATTATAGATGTATATTATGTATAGATATTTTTTTTTGCTTACCTGTATTTTCGTGGAAATTTAAGCTACCTAAATCACATTCTCTTACGTTTTACTGAGATCCGCTACAATTTTTTTAGGTAATCCGACGTCAATTTTATTACATTATTAATTTAAAAAAGGTGCTCTGCTGTACAGTAGGTTACAAGTGGTTCACTGGATAATGGATGGTATTAAATTTGAATTCAATGATATAATATCATTGTATAAGAAAAACGATTCTGAGCGGAGATGGTATGTCAGTCTAGGTATAAGACATATTATATACTTATCTATGGTATTGAAAAAAATTTACCTATAATAAATTCCAAATTAATCATATCACAATATCCATTAGGTACTTATAATGCCTTATAAGTCAACAACAAACCCCGATACTACTAGATGTATAATAGTGTACTTTAGAAGTTTCAAGTACCCACGAATAATATTATACAATCACAACAAAATAAGTAAAATAGTTATTCTAGGTTTTTTTTTATGTAATTTCATCCAAATTTGAACTTAATATGACTATAAAAATAAACTGTGCTTATGTATTTTTTTAGATTTTTTGGGAACAGAATTAACTACATACGTGAAATCTTGATGATACTAAGGTGAATAAAGTAATTTATATATAACCTATTTACGTAGAATCTTGTTTTAATTTTTCAATCATTAGCTATAAAAGTTGAACATTTTATAAATTTTAGATTCTGAGTGAAACGATGAATGTATTGATTCTACAATGTTTTTTTTTTTTTTATTTTTATTTTTTTTTTGTGTCTGTCATCACGTTCTAGGACAGTAAAAGTGCTTATATTTTCTTCAACAGTAGCTTTTCTGATAGGAAAGTGAATCTAGATGGTACCTTGGGTACCAGTAGTTAGGTTAGGTTACTACCAGTAGTTTTCAAAAGCGGCGTGAATCACAAAATAAAATTAAGGAAAAACGGGAATTTTTACACTAAAATCTGTTTTCGAAAAAATCGATTTTGGTGTTTGGTGCAACTTGCAACTCTTAAACAAATGATCATAGGTACATGACATTTTGACTAAATGTTTATATTAGAATTTTCTATACACGATAACATTTTCAAAATGTTTTGATTTATTTTGAACTGTTTGGGCACATTTTCATTTTCCATTTTTTTTTAGTTTTTTTTTCTAAAATAATAATTCAATTTTATTTGTTGGTTAAAAAAACTTAAAAATTTAATACAAGGCTCCTACTATATTGTTACAATGGCATTTGAAAAATATTAAAAATCCTTAGTCACAGTTTTTTTTTATAAGCATTTAAAGTTCAAAAATTGACAAAATATGGAAAAATCACGAAAATTAGCAAATTATTTTGAGTTAAGAATTCGTAAAAATTTTTCTTTTTAAATCTAAGGTTTTAAAATGTAATACAAGATTCCTTATAAGATTATATACCTTTATCAACAAAAAAAATGTCTATAAGAAAGTCAAATTAAATTTTTATGGTCGTTTGAAATTCAAACTTTTACAACATTGGATATTCACTCAATTTCTCATGTAGCGATTTCCTTATTTTGTTGTAATTCAAAAACGAATGACTGTAGATACATGAAAAATTCACTGAATGTTCATATTAGCATTTCCTATACACTATAAAATGTTGACTCTTTTTGAGTTGTTTACGGACATTTTCAGTTTCCAATTTTTTTAGTTTTTTATTCTATAAATATCAATAAAGTTTTATCTGTTGGGCCAAAAAGTGTAAAAATTTAATACAAGGCTCCTGATATATTGTTACAATATCAGTTAAAAAATATTAAAAATACATAAGCACAATTTTTTTTATAAGCATTTAAAGATCGAATTTTGACAAAATTTATCAAATTTAAAATTGAATAATTATTTTTAGTTAAAAATGTATAAAATGTTCAACTTTTATATCTAAAGATTGAAAATTTAAAACAAGGTTCCTCGTAAGTTTTTAATTCTGTTAACAAAAAATCTAAAAAGTACATAAGCACAGTTTATTTTTATAGTCATTTTAAGTTCAACTTTGGACAAAATTACATAAAAGAAACCTAGAATACTTATTTTAGTTATTTTGTTGTGATTGTGTAATATTATTCTTGGGTACTTGAAACTTCTAAAGTACACTAGGTATTATATTTATATATCTATGGAGTATGGACTATGATAGTATCAGGATTTGTTGTTGACGTATTAATTTGGAATTTATTATAGGTACCTATTTTAGGTAAATTTTTTTTAATACGATAGATAAGTACCTATATAATCTGTCTTAAACCTAGATGACTGACATACCGTCTCCGCTCAGAATCGTTTTTCTCGTACAATGATATTATATCATTGAATTCAAATTTAATAATATCCATTATACAGTGACCCACTTGTAACGAACTGTACAGCAGAGAACCTTTTTAACAACAAAATTATTATTAAATTTTAAATGTGATAAATTTTGTAAGAATTTTAAATTTGAATTCTTATAAAAAAACTTTTTGGCCCAACAAATATACAATTTTATTGATATTTATAGAAAAAAAACTAATAAAATTGAAAACTGAAAATGTCCGTATACAGCTCAAAAAGAATGAAAATATTTTCAAAATTGTATGGTGTATAGGAAATGCTAATATAAACATTCAGTGAATTTTTCAAATATCTACAGTCATTCGTTTTTTAATTACAACAAATAAGGAAATCGCTACATGAGAAATCGAGTGAATATCCAATATTGTAAGATTATGAACTTTAAACGCTCATAAAAATTTAATTTGACTTTCTGGTAGAGATTTTTTTATTGATAAAGGTAGACAAACTTATGAGTAATCTTGTATTGAATTTTCAATTCTTAGATTTAAAAAGAAAAAAATTTTACGAATTCTTAACTCGAAATAATTTGCTAATTTTCGTGATTTTTCCATGTTTTGTCAATTTTTGAACTTTAAATCCTTATAAAAAAAAACTGTAACTAAGGATTTTTAATATTTTTCATCTGCCTTTGAAACAATATGTCAATATACTAGAAGCCTTCTATTACATTTTCAAGCTTTTTTAACCAACAAATAACATTTTATTGATATTTTTAGAAAAAAAGCTAAAAAAAAAAATAGAAAATGAAAAGTTCCTAAACAGTTCAAAACAAATCATAATATTTTGAAAATTTCATCGTGTATAGAAAATGCAAATATAAACAACCAGTGAAAATTTCATGTATATACATTCATTTGTTTTAGGGTTACACCAAAACCGAAAATCGATTTTGTGGAATTTCCCGTTTTTCCTTAATTTTTTAGTTGTTTTTCCCGGCGCTTTTGAAAACTATTCTGAATTTTAAAATTTGACCCCCTGAATGCACCAAGCCACCAACTAGATTCACTTTCTCATCGAACAAGAAACTGTTGAAGAAAATCGAAGCAGTTTTACTGTCCCAAGCCGTGATGACAGACACAAAAATAAAAAAATTATAAAAAAAACACACATCATTGTAAAATCAATACATTCATCGTTCCTCTCAGAATCTAAAATGACACTGACAGAATATTTATGATTACGTTTTGAAACATATTTCTATATATCGTGTTATATTAATAATTCGTATATTATAATACGTAACTACTATAGCTACCTATCTAATTGTATTTCATTATTATATTTATTTATATAAAAAATAAAATATTTTTTTCGGTCTTTATGATAGAGGTAGGTACTTATCATTAATGAAGGGTTCATTAAAATATTTTAAATAACAATACATATTTATGTGAATAGTCGTTTACAGGATGGTTATATTTATTTTACTGATAACCATTAGTTTTGAAGCTAATTAATTAGATAATACTAATTTTATTCTCTTTACGATAATATTGAATTTCGCCTGGTAAAAGGGTTTTCTTTATCTCTCTGAAGTTTGAGTGATAAATTATTTGAGATTGATAAAATATTTTTGTATTTTATATAATATACAGTATGTATATTATATATTGTAGATTGAATTATTATAATATCATATTTAATACATTATTAAAATTGACCAATGAAAAAAAATTTAACAAAAAAACACTTATTTATATAGGTAGGTACTTATAATTCGTTGATTATTATAAGACAAATTAAAAATTAACGATTTTTGTATAGCAAATAGGTACAATCTATACTATATCTATGTATAATTAAATTTAAAAAAGACATGTAATTGTTTTATTTTATCTATACGTTTTCAGCAAATACCTTGTGAAGATAGTAATACGTTCACAATTGAAAATAAACTGCCTATCGTCGGACCCTGAATCTTTCTTCCGACATATTTTTTAGTTTCTATACAATTTTGGATTGCAGACCATATTTTACACGCCAATCTATACCTACGATTTTTGAATAGAATCAGTGAAGTCCGCAATCCAGTAAAGAAGAAGATTTAGGTGATATATTTAACATTGTATTAAATATTATTATAATATAAGATATTGAATTAATGATAACAGTATCTATCTATTTTAAACAACATGATTACATTAACTACTAGACAGACACGTAGCCAGGATTTTATTTTTTTTGGTGGGGGGGGGGGGTGTCGAAATAAATGTTAGTACAATTTTTATGCTTAATTGATATATAAAACATTTTATTTTTTTATATATGCCGGTACACAAACATTTGGGGGGGAGTCCAGACCCCATGGATACGTGCCTGCTACTAGACACTGTCTAGTGTAGTAGTTCATGAATGTATTTTATAATATAGCACAGTTTGCATAGAGTATACTCTATGACAGTTTGTGACATTTTGAATTTATTTTGATATCCGTGGTTGATAGCAATATCATATTCTATTATCTTTGTTTTGGAAGATCTGACCTTCCGGAAACAGTGTGGTCACACTGCGTTTATCACCACTTTCAAAGCTGCAATGGAGCTGATGGCTGATGCTGTGGTGACGGTTGTACCATAGAACGATAGAACAATAGTTATACATGGTTATACTCAACTTTTCTAAAATAGTAGCTGTTCAATATCCCTTTACGACTTTACTCTATACTCTGTAGTATATTCGTATTTCGTAAACTATAGAGTACGGATTACGGACAAGTATAGTGTAACTGAGTTCTGCACTGCAGTTGCATTCGTGATACAAGTATAATACAACTCTTCGACACAGAAGGTCCAAGTTCTTGCAATTCAGTGTTACTTCCCGATCTTGTATAATTCTTGTTAGTTGTTGATGAAGGATAGATCCGATCGTTGATAACGTTCACGTCGTTTTCATTTGCTTATTGTTATCTATAATAAGTAATAAGTATTAAGTATAAATATTTAATTCACTCGCGTCTCGTGATTGTCGTCCGTTCATCTATCGTAAATATATTTCGTAATTTCGTATCACCTAATATAAATAATATAAATAATCTACCTGACACGTTATGTGGACCTCGTATACTTCAGCATATGATTTGACCCAGTTAAATTTAAACAATCGCGTTTTCACATAAGTTTTGCACATCTGGAAAGTGCCTGTATGTTTTAATTAGTTTCTATAAGATATACTGAACACCCATGGCCTATGCCCGTTTAATGCATTAGCATTGTTCATTATGTTAAAAGACATCAAAAACGTAATGAATTCCAAAAGGTTGAACAGAGATTCAAAAGTATCACATGCACTCGTTCAGGATACAAGAACTGGAGAGGTCTACGATGTGAATACTGACAGTGACGTAAGTATTTTACCTATCTGTTACTACCTATACTGTCTGTTTCTGTTTTAAATGTGTAACTGAATTTTTTCTGTTTAACCAGTTTCTCTTTGGACGCTTTCTGAAATCCTCAATAGTAATTGAAGAACTATACATTTCTCGCTCTCACTCTACCATTAGATATGAAAATGATAAATTTCTCCTTAAGGACAACGTAAGTTTATATATAAACATAATATTTATTAAAAATTACATAAAGTGGACTGTTGACCATGTGAGTTGCCTAGTTTTGTATGATCTTACTAATAATAATACTGTTAGTAATAGGGTGTAGACCTCAACAAATTGTAAGGGTGTCTTGCAGTGGTGTCCCGTAGGTGAATATTGAGGGGAGATATATAATGATTGGATGACTGGGCTACCGCCAATGAGGGTCTAACAAACCTGGTCCAAAACATTTTTTTAACACTGAGTCTAGAGTCTAGACCATGGTTGGTAAGATATAAAACGGCCGACCGGAGTCAACAACTTACATACACAAATAAACAGAATACAATTATATATTATTTTGGCATAAAGTATATTATATATTTGATTTTGTGATATCAACTTTTAACTAAAAAATTATTACTTTTCATACATTGTATTACATTTGAAGCTTTTTAATCTAGGAAAACAATTATATAAGGCTATTTACCATAGGTGTTCTTAATATATTATATTATACCATATATTATATATCATATATTATATTAACCATATATTATATTATACTATATATTAGGTATATATCATATATTATATTATATGCATACCCTTACTGGAGAGCCGTGGAAAAAAATATTTATAGGGCACCAACTATATTTTTATATATTAACTTCTAATTAAAAAGTTGGTGTCTACCCATGTTTGTTTTATTTACAAACTACCGCCTGAAAATGTTAGACACAGATCATGATTTATTCTGTGATTTTTAACAAAATACCAATCGAAATAATATCTTTCATAATAAAATGACTAAAAAATAAATTGTGCACTTACTTTTAAAATTGAATTTGATTTATATTTTATAAAAAAAACATACAATTTACACGAACATCTTATAATATCTTATTATGTGACTATGTGAGTAGATGTTACATTTATTTGCTATTCAAAGTTTTAAACAGAGCATTTATGACTTGAACTCCATCTACTTAATTAACTATGTCTTGTTCACACTGCATTAAGAATAATGATTCTAAATTGTTTTGTTTAATAGTGGACCTTAATCGTGTATTTAACCATTTTAGTTTTGAAAATGACCTTCACACATCACTTGTGTCAGAGGCAGAGTCAGTAAATATTTATACGCTTTGTACAATTCCATGTATTGTGGGGAATACAAAGCCAACATCCAATATAAAAGTGATACAGATTTAGTATTTAAAATAGAGTGGAGGTTAAAAGAAATATTGAGAGTTTTAAGATCGTTAGAGGTCAGATCTGAAAATTGATGTCTAGATTGAACACGAGGAGAATAAAGTAGAGAATCATATGATAGTTTGTATAGTGAAGATTTTTGTTATTATCATATAAGTAAAAAAAAAAGTAAAAACTATATTAACATGTATTTATTGCTTAAATTTTATTATTTTAATACAAATATGAAATTTTCTAATTTTTAAGTTTTTTTTCATAATATATAATAATATGTTGGTGAAAGTTTCTCGACCATAAAGCTTGAAAATGTAATACATGATCCTCTTTTAGTTTTTTTTTTTAAAAAATGTTTGTAAAGCATTTACAAATATTGAAAGTTGTGTTACATACCTCTGCACAATTTTTTTTATAAAATTATAAATAAAAGTTTATTTTTCTATTTTTTAATTGTATAGTTAAAAGTTGATACTACAAAATCAAATAATATATAATATACTATATTATAATGCTTAAAATTTAGATCATAATATAATTTAAATTCTAAATTATAGTAGTACATTATACTACTATACTTGTATAATATGATATTATGATTTAAGACTATATGCCAAAATATATATATTATAAATAGGGCTGGGATTTTAATGCCCTAAAAAATCCCGAAAAATGTCCTAAAAAAAAAATGCTTATATGACCTAAAAACTCTAAATAATGCCCTAAAAATACCCTAAAATAAATGCTTTTATGATCTAAACATTTTTTTTTTAATAATTTTAGTATAAATTACAGTAAAAAGTTTAAAAAAATCTATTGCAAGTGTAAGCTGTCAATACATAGTTTTAGTAAAAAATTTAACTAGAAACGGTATTAATGACGACAAAACTCGTACTGAACGTCGAACGATATCATCGGACCGATTTAAGATTACCGATTAAAGATTATTTAACAGGAAATGCGGGTAGAGGTTACTCAAACCTTGTCCGATAATATAATAAGAATTACGAATACCTACTTATAATCCGTTATATTTATTTAAAAACCATGTTGGTGTAAAAATCTTAAAATAAAATTTCAAATTCATACTTGGTTTCCAAAAACTCAAAAAATGCTCCAAAAACTCTAAAATGCCCTAAAAAGTTAAGAAAATGACCTAAAAACCAAAAAATGCAAAATAAACTTTCTTATTCTCATTCAAATGTACATAAAACAAATTTGTGACAAGACGAGCATTGCACAGTAAGCTTAGGAAAACAATGCAAAGTGCATCGAAATCCCAGCCCTAATTATAAGTATATGAACTTGTCCTGATTCATCATGGTCTAGCTGAAATCTCTGAGGCTATGAGTATGAAATTTTATCAATAGTTTTATGATGTAGACCCTCTAAGAAAAGATTTTTGAAAATTTGCATTTTAAAGAGGTCCTCAAACAAGAATTTTGAGATTCTGGGTGGAAATTGAATATTTTTTTGTATATTAATGTTTGCCATTGGTTAGGTACTTTGGCAAAAAAGGTAAAAACTGATGTCGCACACTGTAACTTTCTAGAACAGTAATCAGAGTCCCAGAAACAACTATTTTTTAATAAATCAAGGTGATCAAATAAATAATAAAGTATTAGGTAACAATGGTAATGATCTAAATTCTAAAGACAATACATGTAATATAAAAACTGATAAAAAAAAGCACAAGTCAAGTTATTTAGCTAGTAATATTTAATTATATTCTGTTAATTTGTGTACTCATGTAAATTGTTGACACTGCAGGTCGGGTGTACTTTATCTTATCGACCATGATCGGACATCTATACTCAGCATTTTTTAAATTTTGTTGTTACTTTTTCTCATGAAGTTCCTAAGCTATAAGTACTATAATACTATACATATTGTTCAAGATTTATATTTATGTTTTCTTTTAAGTATATTCAGATATTCTTTCAAAAACCGTTCCTTATACAATATTATCAATCATGCGTTTCCATTATTCCAATTTCCAACACTAATATTATAGTCTAAGATAGTATGGGATATGATACGGTCAATAATAAATAATTGTGTCAACCAACCAGTGGCGTATACAAGGAGGATGGACATGGGCGTCAAATTCCCTCCTATTGGATTTGGAGTGGATAATGTGAAATAATGTATTTAATGTGAATTTTGAATCAATTCAAATTATATTCAGTATTCCTTATTCTTCTTAAATATTTTACTATCTAAGTAGGTAAAAAGTTTTGAGTGGATGTGGGACTATCCAATTTTCCCGTCCCATTTAGGTATGTCATCTTCTTTTTTTGAACCCCTCCCCCTTTCAGAAATCATATCTACACCACTGCAATCAACCCAATTAAAAATATTAACAATTCTTGGTTTCACAAATTAAAATTAAAAATTTTTTACTTTTTCAGAACTCATGCACAGGTACATACTTGAATTACAAAAAAATTTCCAAGGAAGTTGTATTACAAAATGGAGACCTTATCGCCTTTACGGATAAGAGTAAGACCTGGGATTTTGTATACAAGTTTTGCTTATTATCAAATCCTAATAAGAAACTCAGGTAAATTATTACTGAAATATCAATTTTACCCAAATTTAAAATACTATATTAATTAATTTTTCATAAATGTAAAAATTAAAAACAACCACTATAATAGGTACTTTTAATTCCCGGCAACCCCGGATTATTCAACTAGTACTTTATAAAATTGAAGTACATAAGTTATAAAGTTATTGAAATAAAAGTAAATTTTAGTTGGTAAACTAATTTTGTTTATAGTTTTTAATGTGATATCTTGTAACGTTACAATCTTTATATCCATGACAGAGTAAATCAATAATTATTTCGTCAAAAGAATTCAGTAACAAGATTTCGTTTTATAAATAAATAGAAAACACTAAAGGGTATAATAAGCTCCCTGGTGTCGGGAACTTCTCTCACCTCTACAGAATAGTTGTTTATTGTGATATTAAATGTGATAAATTGCCACATTAAAAACTTATTCTGAACTTAGTTTTGATAAAAATGCATTTAACTTGAAATTTTTCAAACATTTGGAAATTGATCAATTTTCTCTATGCTTGTGAAACTAAAAAATATGTGCTACAAAAAAATTGAGCTTTTTACCCAAAAAATTGTTTTCTGAAAGACACATTATTAAAAAAGAATAGCTTATGAAACTGATATTTGCTACCTTTAACTTTAGTAACTGTTTTTATAAAAAATATTTATAGTGTTTTGTACATTTTGAGTAATTTGATTACTATATTATCTGTATGTTTTTACTTTTAGATTAGAAGAAGAAAATTCTACTGTGGAGGAAAATGACAAATTAAAAATCTCAATAGAACAACTTGAGAAACAAGTAAAAGAAGTAAGTACTATTGATTTGAATAAGATAAATTTCTATGCACATTCAAGTAAACATAAAGTGTAGCCAAATTATACCTAAAAGTGTATAGCTGACCTAAATATTGGGTTATTAATTAATAATATTCATTGTATTTCTATACTTCGCGCTACAAGAGAACAGAATCGCTCACCGACCTAATTATGTTCAGTCCGCGCATTCGCTGCCAAAAACCGGTCTAAAGCACCGTTGACCACCAAAGTTAGCCGTGACGTGTTATAATGTGACTGGTGACCATTTGGAGCGGGAAAATTGGACTCTCGACTGCTCGAGTAAATCGTTCGGATGTGCAGAGCGGTTGTGTTCTCTTGTGGTGCAGAGATTAATGTTAACCTATTTATAAATTGTATCCCATTGAAATTAAATAGTTGATTCAAATATATGACAGCTTTTATGCAGTTTTTATAAATTTTGAATTCTTCGTCTTATTGGCCGACACAGTTTTTTATGTAACAAATTAACAAACACTTGTGTTTTTATTTGAAATATTACAAAAAGTAATATATTTGATTATAATATAAATACCTTTTTATTTGATTGTAGTTAAAAATTGCTAAAACAAATATCGTCAATGACTTTAAAGCTCAAATGGATGAATTAAAAAAATCGATTGATAATGTAACAGGATTAAATAACAAGATAAATAATGAAATGATTAAAGTATGTAAAAATTATTATAATAAATAATACGCTTAAGAGGATGTCACATTACTAACACATAACATATCAAAATATACGTTCAGTAGTTCCAGTTTTGTGTTTTTAGCTTTAATATTAGAGTAAATTGATTTATTATCAGATTTAAAGGTAAGAGCATTATTTGTGGTATCTCGTTGAATTTTTACCATATTTTAATTTTTAAGTGGTTTAAGCTCGGATTTAATGCAACTGCTATTTTTTTTTTCATTTCTTATTTTTGAGATTTTTGTCAATAATCTTTATGAACCTTTATAGTTTGAAGCTTTTTTTGCATGTAGGTACTGTATTATTAATAGTGATCGCATATTTGTGCATATTTTGACAAAATTCAAAATGTATTGCGTTTCAAGCAAAAATTAAAATAATATTCCATCAAGCAGAAAATGTAATGATAAAACATGTACGCACTAAATACTAAATAGTAATTGTGATAGTGATAAAATAACTAATCGATTAGTGAAATTTTGTGTCATTATCTTAATTTCTCTTTAGTCTGTTGCCAATATATTATATGCACTCTCTATGCTTGTTTAGTCTGTAAATCGTAAATATGCTGAAAGTAAATACATTGATTCACTATAATTATAAAATTCGAAAATAGATTTCTTTGGAAAATAAAGAGACTAAGGTTTTTACTACTGATGGACAAATAGAAAATAGTAAATAAAAAAACTTGTACCATCACCTTACGCAGATCGTTTTATCAAATACCAAAATGTTATCGATGACTTTTGAAGGATGTTACACATTGCTTAAAAAGTTCTGGATATTATCGAGGATAATATTGTTGTCAATAATTTGACATTTATATCCACTTCTTTGGCATTTTTAGTGATAGAAATAAAGACACCAAGAATTCAAAATATTGTACAATTTAAAATTTATTCGTTGCATATTTTTATGATTTTGGCTGCATATTATATGGCATATATTGATACCTTTTAGTACATCTTTTTTAACACTTTAGTTGAGTAAGTAAGGTTTTAAATATTAATATTTAAAAATGCTCATAATTCACTTAAAAATTAAAATATCGTAAAAAAAACCAACGAGAGAACACAGCTAATGTTCTTACATTTTAGTTTAGTATTAGGTCAGTTCCTTCTTATATTGAGCTAACAACACAAAATTGGAATGTATATTTTGGTATATTATGTGTAAGGAGTAGACATCACATGAGAGTGCAATGCCCTTTTAATGAATACTGAATAAATTAAAAAATTTCAGGTACAAGATTACAATCGAGAGTTAAATAAGGATTTGACCATTTATCGCAGAAGATGTATGTTGCAGAAAGGTAATATTGTGAAGTTATTTTTGAACACCTGATATTTTATTAAGGATTTGATCTGTTAAAGCAGAAATGTTGGACAAACAAATTGTTAAAGAAGAAGACTCTGTGGAAACACTCAAAACTCAAATTAATAAACTCTTAGAAAATGATTTTCAATGTGCTATTTGTAATGAAGTGGTCTTTCGGGTACAAACTATTTATTGATTTTCTATTGTTATTACTTATTATCACTAATATTTTTTAATTTAGCCAAGTATAGCCAATTGTGCTCACACTTTCTGCGATGGCTGTCTCAAATCATGGTTGGTTAGAAGCAATCATTGTCCTACTTGCCGAAGCGTTGTAAATTCTACAACTTACTCTCTTTCTTTGAATAATTATATCACAAACCTATGTGACCTTCTGGGTGGAACAATAAAAGAACAACGTCTTGCTCTCCAAAGTGAAAGTAAGGACTTTTAAGTGAATTATATCTACAGTGAAACCTGGATAACTCGAATCAGTCGGGAATAAAAGAAATTTTGAATTATAGAAAAAATTTTGTGTACTTGGGTACATTTTATTGAAATGCAGGGGCCAAGACATTCTTTCAAGTTATCAAAAATTTGACTTTTAGACATTTGAGTTATCAAGGTACCTCTGTATTTTGTTTTAATAACAATTAGGCTAAGTTTATGTTAAGTGCTGTAATCATATGTCATTCAACGTAATATATTATATGATAGGAATTGGGCATCCACCTCAAATGGCTAAAAGAGGTAGAAAAAGGGCGGCAAATCAATCAACCCGCGGTAGAAGAGAACCACCGACATATGAATTAATTGATGACGACCCTGCCAGAAATAATTCTAGATTTACTACCGGGTCACATAACGTTATTGACATTGTAGATCTTACAAATAATACGTCTCGGTAATGTTAATTATTTTGAGAATACTGAAATGATTATTTTCATGAGTCGATGAAATCTTAGTGCATTCATTTATAATGATGAGGCACCTATGTTCAAACATTTTTTTTTAAATTTAAGTTTAGTTCTATATTTAATGTAGACTTATGAATCAGTTAGAAACACAATATTCTCTTATACTTATATAAAAATGTTTAATAAAAGTATTCTATAATAAATATTAACTCTGATCTTTTGTATTATTAAAATTTTTAGTATTCTATTATAATATATCTACTATGTTTTTAATTTGTCATTGACTATTTCCACATTACAATAACATATTATATTTCTTAATTAGGTATTAATTTAATATAAAACAAAAATTTTATGTTTGTCTATTCTTATACAATATTTTGAAAAGTCACAGGAATATTTAGTTATTAGTTTTTACTTAGGCAGATAAATTGCAAAAAATAAATCTTTCTCGGTACAACACTTGAATTTAAGTATAAATCTCAATTGGTGGTCCAAACTTTATACATGTTTTTATCATGATAGAATTGATAGATTACATTCTGTTTAATGTTTTTAGTTTATTTATAAGTTTTATTTTCCTTTCTTATAAACCAGTAAATTGGGTTGTGTGTACTTTTTTATTTAATATCCAGAGCTCAATTAAAAATGATTAAGATAATTGTATTTTTACACTTGTCATTAATGTTTATAATTTAAATATTTATTGATGTATAATATTATTTTTTTTTTTATTTTACTGTACCTTTTGTGTATACAACACATTGTTAATCAACACACTTTCGGTTACCATGCTGAAAAACATACATATAAATCATAAAATAAAATTGATTATGATAATTTTTAATTTAAATGAAAATAAACTGTTTTTTGAATAGAACATCTTCCTTGGTCATGCGTTATACCTACAATTTTATTGAATTTTTTGAGAATCCTTAGTACGGTTTGTCGAGTTTAATATATATTGTGAGTATATTCAAGTATTTTAGTTTAAATTGTTAGTATTACAACCGCCTTAATATTAACTATTTTGTATTGATTGAGATATGTTGTCTGTTTTACTGAAGTAATTATCGATAACTGCTCATACATTGTTGATTTGGATTATAATTTATTTAAATTAATTCCAGCAGACTGTTCATTATACATTCTCGATAAGCAATAATCATTTTTAATTTTTCGTTATATTAAAGCAAAATTTATTATTCTTAGTGTAACAATATTTTTCATCGAGTGAAGATAGAAAGACTCATACTTCAAACCTTTTTAAATATTGAGGTGTGTGCTTGAATTTGATCACCCGCTTTTGGCTTTTAAAAATAATCATCTACTTCAAATGGGAGTAGTAGTCATAGTAGTAGTATTTTAGTAATAATTATTTCTCTGGATTAAAATTCTATTTCTTGTAACTAACTTTTTTCAAACTTATAGCGGAATTACTGCATCACTCAATGATTTCTTGGCTCTGCTTTTTATCCTGTTCTGCCCAAAGTTTAACAGATGTTTGTAAGCAGTACATGAAACTGACGGCAAAAAAGGGTTGACTTGGCATACTTTTAAAGTTCTCTGTCGATATTCACCGAATCATATATCAGTATAAAATAACTTAAATGTATTGCCCGACAGGGTGTGAGATAATTATCAAAATCGTTATTTTCTTTTTTTAAATTTATTGTAACATTTTATAATATGCAGTATTTCAATTAAACAAAAGTAATTGTGTTTAGCTAAAGTTTCTTTCTATTTATTTCTTTCTTTTTTTTTATTCCCCAACCTGAAACCTGAACCTCATCCAAAACAATATTCTTGATAAATTAATTTGCATATTTTTACTTATTATCACAATACACATGTGGCATGTATATTCATCATGTATTTGTATTCAGTACAAGAATAAACCAAGTAGATTATAATTATAAGAAATATCATAATTGCATAGGAAAATAACAAATTTGTTATTGTTATATATGTTGTTACTTGCATAGGCGTGCGCAGACTTAAATTTCTGGTCGAGCCTAGACAATTATAGTGCCCTAATATTTGGACTGCGCCCCTAATTTTTTTTTTAACACACCAACATACATGTTGATAATATATTAACCTATTGATGTCTATAGTACTATAGTTAGGTTTTTGTACCTATAAAGGTATAATGTTTTTTTTAGATTAATTAAATGTATGTAATAGTTATTTAGGTTATAATATAGCATTCTAATAAAATATTTTAAATACTAAGCACATTTACTATGCCCCTAAAAGTTTTCAGGTCGAGCCTGGGACCGGCTCGCCCCGTGCGCACGCCTATGGTTACTGTTACCTAAATGTTGATAACTATGGAACTGCAACAAAAATTTGTTTTATCGTCTGTGTGTAAGACGGAGACAACATATACGGGTACAATATCCTCTTAAACAAATCACGGATTGATGTCTAGACAATAATACAAGGTTTTTTTCTTGAACGTAATGAACCAAAATATTTTAATGTGGTGTTTACTATCGGTGTAAGAACACTAAAAACTAATATCAAGGTTTTAAATATACATTTTTCTTTTATTAACGTAATAAAGAGTAACAACGTTCGCAATGATGAATATTAATAATAATATAATTGGACTAGATCAAATACTTGGATTGTATTAAAGCTAAAAAACAATAATTAATACAGTGAAAATGTGTTTAGGTCAACTGCCGGTAGTCCATGAATTGTCAGTAACGTTCTGGTTTTCTGTTCGCCTCAGATTAGGGCCGTTCTTGCTGCCAGGTAAACTATGTTTTTGCATATTACTACTTTTTTTTTTTAGTTCGCACAGCAAATGCTTGTTGTGATCTTCAACAAAATCTAGCTTTTCGCATATCCTGGCATTTTCTTGCTGCAGTTTGACCATCTTGTCCAAGACCATTGTCATTTCAACAGAAGTGTCAACAATGTTGTTTTGCTGTAACTCTGTTGGTCAGCTCGGTCACGGTAGTTTTAAACTTTCGTTTAGAAACGTGCAAATCATCTTGAGTGCGCTCCAGTGTGGTTTTCAAATCAGCATCATTTGCATTTTATGCGCCAAATGACTGGCCAGTTTCTTTTTGTCGCGGTCATAAAGCTCTTTTTCTTTTGCTACGCTATCCTCTTGTGCTCGGAAAGCAATCTTGAGATCATTGTTTTTTTGTTTTAAAATATCACAGTGGCTTTTTAATCGGTCCAAAGCTGTTTGTAAATTTAGGCATTCGGACTGCAGTGATGCATTGGCGAACTCAACTTTCTGTAAACACGAGCAATTCATTGGTTTTCATTTCACAACTTTCCATATAAGTTTTAAGGTCAATATTTTCATTTTCCAGAGAGTTAACAGTACAAGTACATTTAGTTAGTTTATTGTTCAGCTCTTCGATAACACTTTTTAATATGTTTACCTCTTGAAGTTGTTGCTCTAAACATTCCTTCAAATCCAAATACAATTTACTGTTCAGTATAATCTTTTCTAAATTAACTTCTTCATTAAACGATTCATTTTGTTTGGTCAACAATTCTAATCTATTTTGCAGTTCTTGAACTTCGCGCAATAGTTTACTTTCTGTTTCGTGCGAACACTTTGACTCATGTTCATACTTGGTCTTCCAGAATTCTAAGTCGTTTGAAAGTTTTGACTTCTCATCTTGGAGCAAGTCATTATAGTCTTGTATTCCTTGATCTCTCTGTTTTTTGTTTCTATTACGCCCGTACAACTGGCCACATCTTTGGAGTTACTTTCAACCGTGCGATCTGCTTGTCCTGTCCTTAAGACTGTCTATCAGTTTTTTTTTTTCGGTGCTCAGGTCCAGTATTTCCTTTTCCTTGAGTACGTAACGCATGAAAGCTGCTTCCTTTTCGTGTTTGGCTGTGTCGTACATCTTCTTTGAAGACTGCAGCTGCGATCGCAAATCGCTGACGTCCGTCAGGTACTTGTGCTCATTGATGGCCAGCTGCCGCTGATAGTAGTCAAGCTCGTCTCGTTGCTGTCGAACAACATCGCTGAGTACTTTCAGTTGGTCTTCACCGAGTACTTCCAGTTGGACTTCACCGAGTACTTCCAGTTGGTCTTCACTGATTGTTTTCAGTTGATCTTCAATAGTTGTTTTCAGTTGGCATCCTTCGATTACTTTCAGTTGGTCTACGCTTGGCGCGCAACTTTCATCTTCCTCCTCGTCATCATCCACCACCTGGTTGCTGTCAACGCGATCACTGTTCTCAGCCGTCTGAGGAGGCGGAGAATCGTTCGCAACGTCCGGGATTTCCATGTTCGGACAACGAACAACGGCTACCGACGACTGCAGCAAAAGCAGCGTGACGTGTCAACCGAGCACGTCATTAATCGTGGCTAGACTTTCCGAGTTTCCGAGTCCCCGAAAAAATATCACAGTCTGTTGACCGGTGCTGACTTTCTGTAGGGTTGTTGTACTACCTACTTGTTATTTTTAATCACGATTTACGAACGCGCGAGCTCCGGTAATCCGATAACACATCAAAGCGACAGAGATAACGTTCAAGGATGCTGTACGGTTATCGATAACGACTGGAGTTGTATACTTTTATTTAGATTACACTTCGGGAGAACCATAGATAATATAAGATCTTATATTATCTATGGGGAGAACTAGTTACTAGTAGCACAGAACAATTATAGGACGTTAGGTACACACACCCTCACACAGCGTCCGTGTCCGATTTTTCTGTGGTGGTCACACTTGCATCGCGAGACAGATTACAGGAGCTGACCAACATTCCGGCCGAACTTTGAGACCCCCGCCACCCTTCCATAACAAACAGTTGTTGCTGTCGACCGCCATAGCGCGGGTCCAGGTCACGCCTACCAAACTGTCCGCTTGAGCCGTAGTTACAGTATAGTGTATACTAACTGCGCATAAGCCACGTCTTCGTCGAGCGCGCAACCACCTTATACAGTAAATAGTTATTTTATTCACTCTGTGATCCACCGTCGCCGCGCCACCGGTCACCGGCCACCGCTTGTTGTTCGTTCGCCGAATGCCGATGCCGATCGTCGAACACCATTGACCATTCTGCGAGTTGCGACCTCCGTTCACTGATCAGTCGACGGTCGTCAACACTAGTCAGTCGCTCCTCTCTTCTGTTGTCTGTCTACCGCGATCGTGTTTCTATTTTAAAGCAAGCCGCAGTTCGTTTTTTCGAGTCTCGTCTGTTCTATCGCCCTCTCAATTCGCGTTTTCTCCTTGACACGACCACAGATGTAAGTACTATAGGTAGTCCCTGTCCGCCTCGCGGCAACCCCCCCCCCCCTCTTCCCCAAAATAGTGACACGACCACGGTCGAGTCTTCATCGGCCGTCTTGTGTAGTTAATATAATATACTTATCTATAGTAGTTACATTTCCACCTATCCCAAACACGTTACGTTATTGCGCGCACGTTTCTCAATACGATTTCGTCGGTTTCTGACTGCTTTCTCTCTTTCGTTTCAGCAGCAGCCAGCCACACGATACCGTTGTTGGACGACATAGGTAGACTACACCGCAACATTTAACAGCGACGTTACGCAGACCTGCAGATAACACCCAACAACAACAGGAGCCTACGACGATTACACGTCCACCATGTCATCTTCGGTTTGTTCGTATTACATGAGAGGAGCATGCCGGTTCGGCAACCGTTGCTGGAACTCGCACGATCTGGGATCCGTTCGCACCGACAGCCCGTATCATATGGACGAGGGTAAGTAATCCGCCGCGTGCGTGTTTTACTGGTTCGACGACAACGCAATGTGTGTGTAGGTACCTGTTGTGCACGTTCTTCTACCTTATTCGCTGTGTACCAGTCGTTGACTACGGTTTTTATAATTTTCGATCGCTTTTCGTCATAGCTGTCTGTATGTCATGATGTAGGTATCGACAGTGCATCTATAATAATAATCTTGCACATTTGTTTTTTCTTGACCATAAATTCGAATACTGAAAATGTTTACGGCCAGAAATACTGATATAATATGGTGGTGTTTTACACGACAAACAGTTTTTAAATTGTAACTGGAAATGCAAACAAAAATCATTATTTGAGTCCATTCTATTCATTCAAATTTCGTTCGCTGTCATCCCAAATTCGCACACATTGAGCCTTCCGTGCATTATCCTTCACTGTATTATCTCGTCTGCTCCATGGAACGTATCCAACTGCACACTTTAAAGCTAATATAATATTGAATCAATAAATCAATGACAACATCTGTATATTTGTATAACCATATTTCGCCCATGGGTTGACTCATTAACGGACAGTAACTGGTATAGCAGTCATACTAATTTAAGTCGTAATATGACCATGACTGGTACCTATAGCAGTTATATATTAAAAGTCGTAAAATGGCATGAATGCTAGAGCAGTTGCGTTTCTTATGGCTTCACCAAATTGAAAATTATCTAGTGTTCTATTGTGACTTACCAACAATTCGGCCGAAAAAAAAAATCAAATATTTAAAAATCTATACATTATGCCCTATGAGAGTGACTACTAAATTACAATTTAATATTTTCTTAACAAGTACTATGCTGATACTGTACATTAGTATATCTACTGATAATAATGGGAACTCAACATTGGAACTTACCAGGAGATAAGTTATATTTAGGAAGTTAGGAAAAATATTCTTTTGGTTTGATACTGATGTGTTATTAACCAACCATATAGTTATAACTTATAACTATTGTAGTATGATTTTATCCCACCTAACCTAACCAGGGCTTAACCTTTGAGCGGGCGCGCATTTTGCAATTACACACGCGGGCGCGCAACGGTATTAACACCGCACAATTTAGAGCCTCATTTGAATTTTGTATAGGTTCGCTGCATGAAACTTATAACGAATGGGCGCGATTATTTTCAAATGTGCGGTGTAAAAACCGTCCGCGCGCCCGCTCGAAGGTTAAATAATATGTATATTGTATAGGTACATATAATAAATATCTGCCATGTAAGATAACGGAATACAATAATAATGATTACTTTATATAGATCTTAGATAATTTATTCTTGAATGATTATAATTTTATTGAATGTACTGGCGTATATTGCACATCAATTTTCAATTTACATATGATATTTTTAATTTGTTGTTCTACAGTATTATATTTGTTTTTCTAGAGGATACCTCAGATGAGGAAATCCACTTTGTTGTTGGAGCAAGAAGGGAAACTACTCCAATGACTGCTTCTCCAAGTAGTAGTGCTTCTAGACCTAGACAACGAAATCAAGTTCTTCCCGATTCAGCAAATAAGTATGATTTATATTTTTTTTATTCTAACTTGTTTGTATTAATAAATTATATTAATTGAAGGTCATCGGAAACTACTGAAACTGCATCATCTGCATCCAAAGACAAATGGTGCTTGAAAAGTAATCATATTATTTTTCCTATATTTGAACATTTATTAAATAATTTAAAAAAATTGCTTTCAGATATTAATACTGGAGAAACAAGAGCAGGTTCACCCGATAGTGTGCTTGTAGAAACTGTAAAAAAATTAAATGAAGCTGACAATTTGGTAGTATCACTTCGTCAACAGCTGCGTGTTAAGAATGAGGGAGACAATTTCTCTTGGATTGAACATCAAATGGAACAATGCCTTGAAAGTGATCTACAATGTAATATATGCTATGAAATGTTCATCAAGGTAATATTGTTAATCCAAATTTACAAAATAGACAATGATTACCTGATAATATTTTATATATTACTTGGAATCTTCAATATTTTTCAATTAATATATTTAAATTATTTATTTATAAATTTCTCAAGTATTATTTTTTCCAGTTTGATTATTATAGTGTTAAACTTAAAAGTACGCCGTACCCGCATTGGTTGACTCCATTCTACTCAATTAGGCAATTTACAGTTTAAAAATATCATTAAAATACTATGTCTGAGCCAGAATAATATTCTTACCTTTTAACTTGATAATAGGTCAATTCAATCTATTATTAAATATAACAGTAGAATGGGAACAATTTTAGTTTAGCGCTCACTCGAATTTTTTGATTTTTCTTTTGGTAACCTATGTATTTCGACGAGTTTAAAATGATGTTGTAAAAATTAGTTTGCGGAAATGATTATTTTGGAAGTAACAGCCTTCCAAAGTTTGCGGTTTTTACATTTATACGCATGCGTGCAACACTACTATAATGCCCGGCGGAGGATGTCGATATTTTTATATTAAAAGTTACGAGTCCATATGCATAGTTAATTTGTGTTTTCACTCCTTGACCTGTTTACATAAGTATATAGTGACTCCCTTTGCCTATCGGCTCCGGTCGCCAGTTAGAGTAACATAAGTCTATAGAAGCTCGTGGTCCTGCAGACCTCTCGCTGGATGGGGGCTCGGCCCCCAAACACCCCCGGTGCTTAAATAGCAAACCTCAGCGGGGGGAGAGCATACCTGCCCTTCGGGCAGGCGGATGACCTAACAAGTAATTTTAACCTTGTTATTTGAAATAATTATGAAATAAGATAAAATGTGAAATGTATGGTATCGTTCGTTGATATTATACAACATTATGTACATTCCTATTTCAAACAGTCAGTAGTGTACGTGCTTTAAAGTTATTTTTGAATTAAATATCTGGTCTGTTATTAAATTATTCAAACTTTTTGACTGAAATGAAAACGATCCGTTGCCCATCGCAGCCATTGAGCAACTTCAGTCGTGGGGCCTCATTGCAAAGCCAAATACACTGAAATATTAGAATTGGTTTTACTTTTTGACAGTTTTCAGTGTAAAAAACAAAAAAATATCCCTTGACTTGATATGCAACACCTTACACCACCTCAAGTAGGTCACAGGGTAAGTTATGTTGTATAGTATGTATAGTGATAACACGTCTTGCGGCACTCGTCGCTGCGCTTATAGTAGTGTTGCGCACATGCGTATAAACAAAATATCGCAAACTTTGGAAGGCTGTAAATTCCAAAATAATCATTTCCGCGAATTAATTTTTACACCATCGTTTTAAACTCGTCGAAATACATAGGTTTCCGATAAAAAAATTGAAAAATTCACGTTAAACTAGAATTATGCCGTAGAATGGATTATTCTTGATAATGATTTTCTATGTTATGCATTATTTAGACCGAGTATTAATCACATGTGGGTAGACATCTTCTAAATAATCTTTATTCTTTATTAATAACATATTTGATTAATATTTTATAGTGATTCTTTTTTTTTTTTTTTGCAGCCAACTGTGCTCAATTGCTCTCATACATTTTGTCATGAATGCATAGAGTCATGGACCCGAAGAGTTAATCACTGCCCAACATGTCGAGTTTATGTAAAAAGTAAATCATACTGTCTAACTTTAGACACCTATTTGGACAAAATAGCTGACTGTTTACCAGATGAAATAAAAACAAGGCGTGAAACTTTAAAAGTCGAGCGCAACAATAATAGAGGTAATACATTTTGTAATTAACAAAATATTGCACTCCTAGAACAAGACTGCCACAACTCAAAATTCATCAATTTTGAGTTATGACTACTGTTGAATAGAGAAAAATAAGCTCTATAAAATGCAAGAGCGCCACATTCAATATCATTTTTCATTTCGCCACTATAGAGATGTGTCAGTATGGAATTATTTAAATGTTAGTTAATTTTAAATGCAAGAGGGCCATATTTACTTTATGGCAGTATACTTATTTTTATTTATCCAAATTATCACTGAAGTCAAAATTCAAGACTACCTTATGTCGACTTGTGGCGTTCTTGCACTGAATAAAAACTAATTATCGTGTAATATGTTGAGTGCAAAACAGCAATATTTAGAGTTGTGGCAGTATTGCATTTTATAATTTGTGATACTGCAGCCACAACTTCTGTATGAAATACAGTCACATCTCAAAATATGGTAGTCTTGCATTTACTTAAAAAATTATAAATGGCCACAAGTCTAAATTTTTGGGTTTAAGAGTGAATTTCAAAATATTTGAAAAATTAATATTATAAAGAATGATTGTAAGTATTTAAGTGTTAAATTTCAAACGCATAAGTAAAAAACTCATTAAAATATCTAAGGTCCAAACTTCAAATTGATTTTTCTCAAAACTATAAATTTTGAGTTGTAGCAGTCTTGCTCTAGGAGTGCGAATTATATAAATAAGTAATATTTATTGTATGATAACATAATAATAATTAGTATTAACAGTAGAGGTTAATAGAAGTCGAAGAAATAATGCAAGGAGAAGAAACCATAGAAATCTGTCCATGCGTCGAACATTAGGTGTATTATGGGGTGAACGTGATCGAGATGGTGCTGAATGGAATATTGCGCTGGAAGAAGCATTATTTGATCCAATACGTTTAGGCGATGTAATTGGTAGAAATAGAGATGATAGGGACGACTGGGATGATGAATTGTCTGATAGCACCCTAGACAGGTATTACTACAATACAATATTTTAAATAATTAGATTAAAGTTAGATATGCTCAACCTCTGAATGAGTAGTTCTCTTGGTATATCTTGTCATGTACAAATTAAAAAAGATCATTAACAATTCATAAGTTAATTTACTAGGAAGAATTTTAATAGTTTTATTATAATTTTGATAGTTAAGACTAATAGATATTACTCATTTGAGAAGTATTGATACATAGCATTGAAATGTGCACAAATTGAGTAAAATTTTTTCTTTTTATAATATTGTATCACAAATTGCACATTTTATATTAGATCATACATATTATCTATGCATGTATTGTGTTTGTTTGGGTCATACATCCATTGTTAATGATAATAACTAAGGATTTAATTTAATACTTATTCGTTTTTTATTGTAATGACTAGGGACTGGATTTTAATGTCTTAAAAGTGTCAAAAATTTATTTAGACAATTTGTTGATAAAAGATGATAGTTGGTATTATAATAATTATTAAGATTGTAAAGACAGTTTAGAATGACGATATAAAAGATAACTTGACCCTGGAGATGTTAAAAAAGAAACTATTTTTAGACAAATGATTATTAAAATTTATATTTACAGCTATCAAGTTTCTCTTTATTCCGTATTTTTTGAAAAACTAAATTATTTTGGAAAATGTATCCTGTCCAGCATTGTAGACAAAATATGCAAATGCATTAAAATCCGAGCCCTAGTACTGACATTATTTACTAATGTATTTTAACGTAGTAGTAGTTTTATAAAGTTAAGTACTAAAATAATATTTGGTTAATTTTATTCACTGTCAAAATAATGATTTTTTTTACTGTTTAATCACTAACAGTAAATACAAGTGAATATATTATCAGACATTTTATGATGTTTATAAATTTTTATTGTTTAACATAACCTTTATTTTACTTTGAAATTGATTAGCTTACAAATATTAGAGCAAAACATATATGTCAGTACAAAATGATCTACTTTGCCATGTATGTAGTATATATGAAAATAATATAAGTTCAGGGTGATTTTTAATATTTTCTTGTGCTGAATATAGTAACCCCACTTACGGTACATTTTGTTTAAAATTGTTTTCTTATACAGTAGAGTAAAATTAAGTAAAATTATCGGATGGTGGAGTATTAGGTCATAGTTTGTTTTTCAAAGTGATACTTTACTACTTCACTTATAATTATCGTTATTATAATAAATTCACAATGCATTTTATTAAATTCCAATAAAGGCTCTTTTTCGTTTTATGATCCATTAACTTTAATGATATGCATAAATATTACATTTTTAATTAAATTAAATGATTCAAACTAACAAAATAATCTTAATATTTAAACATTTAATTAGAAAAATATAAATAGTTACTACTTACTAGTATCTAATGTGCAAAATATGCTTTCTCATTTAGCTAAATATATGATCACAATTAAATTTCTATACAGATAATATTTATTTAAAATATGTAAGCATATTAGAAGTTTAAATTGTTACATTTTTTAAATAATAACTTGTATGTTTACGTCTTAACACAAAATTAGAAATCTGAAATTAAATATCTTCTATTATCTAAATCTATAGTACAGGTCTGGCAGGGAGATGACAATTTCCAAAAATCATTAATTCACTTAAAATTTTAATTTTTCCAATAATGATTTAATGTCTATAATAACTATACTATGTACTATAATAACTTCCATGATTGTGACTGGTTAAGTTTAGGGAAAAGGACCTATTGTACATTTTGTTTAGTTAAGAGTGAAATCAATTAATTTACCCATTATCAATCTTCTATCAAGCATATTGTCAATATTTTAATTTTTAAACAAATTATGAGTATATCATACATTAAAATTAAAATATTGAAAAGAAAAAAAATATCATTTTCTTTCCTAACAGTTTGATAATAGGTAAATTCACTATAATATTAAACCTAACTACACAATATTAAACTCGCTATGTTTATGTTTGTAAGACTAAGACAGCATGCCCTTCTCTTAAGATTATTACTATTGTCGAACAAGTAATTTTTTTTTTCTAATCAAATTATGGGTTTGAACACAAGGGCGTATATAAATACACGAGTGGATATGGAAAATAGATCTCCCCATGACATTTTTTTATATACAATGTGTCCCATGAAGAGTTACTGGCCAGCGTCATAATATAATAGTTTACCTTAAGTTCTGAAATAAAACCCCTTAAAGGGTGGGTCTAACTTTTATTTTATAGTTATGGTCAATTCAACTTTTTTTAATCAAAACCAAACCTACAACAAATTTCCTGATATATCTTTAAAGTTTTTAAATTTTCTTTTTAAAGCTATTTTAATGTGCTATAAAGTAGCATACAGGATCAGACCAGAAATTTACAAATTATAAGTTGAATGGAAATTGTGCTCAACTCCAAATAATGCTGTATTTAATACAGTTTTTATTTTTATTGTACTATTCTACTTAACATTACCTAGAATACCTTTACCATTTGTGAATATATGCATCATCTAGGCTCATTGTCCACTAATGCATTATTAGGTTTCTTCAACGACATCAATATCACAAACTTTTTTTTGATAATCAAAATATACCGGTAATCAAAATTAATTGTTTTATTATGTTTGGGTTACCGGAAACCAACTGATTGTAATGCCAATTTATTTATATAATATATTTTAAAAACAATTTGTTTATCAATCATAGAGATATTGATAATTACCAGAATATTAATTCCTACATTTTTTTTTTGATATCGCTATTCATTTTTGCACAAAACAAAATAATATTGAAAAATATATCGTTGAAGAAGCCTATTGTATATGTTAGAAAAGTTGTTGGCACAGTTAGGGTTTTAAAAAAATATGGTAAAATTTTAGAAGATACCTCAGAAAATGTGCAGTAGGTAGAGTTTGATTTTGTTTGAAAAAAAGAAGAATTGCCCTTAACAACCTTTAAAAGTGGTTTTTTTTATATAATATAAGGTATACTATCATATTACGCTGGCCGGTCACATCTTTACGGGACACATTGTATTTTATTAGTGTTAATATAATTTGTTTTTTACTTAAAATAAAAAGTAATAATTTCACTGAACCCTATTACCAATAAATTAAAAAGGTTTTTTTTAACACCCGAATAAACATTATTATTTTTATAGCCGATTTTAAACTCTTAAAATAAATGTTGGCATGCAAAGCCTTGTTAAAAGTTATTATTGATGTCCTAAATTTCAAAAAAATATCTTAGCAATTGAAAGGTTGTACTTATATTGTCTTCAAAATCTGTTTGATTGTAGTGATTAGTAGATTATTTATATTGTTTAAGCAAACTGAAATATGTTGTTTTTTTTCCATAACATTTTATTTAATACCTTTATTCGTGTGTTTTTTTTTCCGGTCTTCAGTTATGAGTACTTTTGCTCTTATTGTGACAATATGGGACACTCAGCGTCCAACTGCCCCATATCCATAATGGAGGAGACTGGTGATATATGGTAGAGCTAACTGCTTTTTTCTACTATCCCGTTATTTGCTTGCGTTGAAGGCACTTCCTAATACGCTTTTTTTGGGACTATATTTATATATAATTTTTTTTTACGTATATATATATATTATATTATAAATAAAAAATATAATATTTGTAATGTAATTGTTTTAATTATTAGAAGTAGCTTATGTCATAAATCGGGGTAAACGTGTTTCTCTCATTTTTTCTCAATTTATAATTATTAATTGTTAAACTCAGATGATCGGTTTATGAAATGTATGTATATTTTTTTTTTCATTTATATTATTCAGGTCTTTATAATAATAATATAATATAAAATAAATAATTTAAATATAATATCTTATAAACATTAGTATTACTGCACTACTTTTTCCGTACTTAGTTATTTATTTGCTTACATTTAAATATTTGGATCGAATTTTTTTTTTTTGTCTAGTATTTTTTTTTCCTAATCATCGTTATTATTAGAAATTATAGATTAATAATACTATTATTTAAGGTAATTATATTATTTAAATTAATTTTGTAAAATTATATTTATTTTCTAATCATGATGCTTAATAGATTTGTACACCTATTCGTAATTAAAAAAAATATCATTAATTATTATGTTTTTTTACACATATGACACATATTAACGAGCACAAAATTAACTTTCAATGGTGAAAATTAAATTGTATGTTGAACATTGCTGAGCTTATAAATATAATAACACTTGATAAACCAATTTTATGAATTATATTAAATTTAAGATAACCTTTAGTAAAACTTGATATATAAAAATACACTTATATGTGAAGATTATTTGGTAGTCTTTATTGAGAAATCTTTTGGAATAATACATTTATATGTATCTAATACACTCTGGTGCTGTGATAATCTGAAGAAACCAACAATTTTGCTACAACTTTCATCAAAATAAATATTTAAATACCCAATGACTGAATACTGTAACCAACATTTATATTTACTGCAAGTAATATCATATTATTGTCAATTGCCATTTAATTTGAACGGTTGAAATAATTAATATGGTCATTTTGACAAGACTTGAAACCAAATCATGATCGCCTAAGTAGATGTTGGAAAATCAAAATATTAATTTATAACTTTTGGGTTCATTTTTTATGTTTGAAAATATTATGTTGATGTTTAACAATAACGAAGAAAACTAGTATTAGAAATCAATGATGATTACTCATAAATTGGTTGAACACCATAACGTTCATATAGAATCAAATGTTAAATAATAATAATAATAATAATTGATTTCCTATATTTTTACGATTTTTATAAATGTTTCAGAATTTTTGTTATGGAATAACTGACTTGGAGATCAAATATCAGTTGAGTTGATGTGTATGATTATGATATACAATACAAAATACTAAGTTAAAATCAAATGCTTAATGAGGTAACTCAACCAGTTCCGTGCCTAGACTTAATTAGTTTTTAATCAATGTTTTTTTCCTGTTTTTTATGTATTTGGTTATTTTTGTGTAATTCTAACTTAATTATTAATACATAATCTTTTTTTATTGTTAAGTATCTGTTCTATATCAGTTGTGTCGCTGAATTATTTTGTCTCATTTTTTCATGCGATTGAACATTAGAGTAAGTTTTAATTTTATGGGAATATGATTTTTTTCTCAGTTTTGATTTTCAACATGATGTTTAATTATTAAGACCAACTACTATTATTGTTTTCATTATTTTTGGGGACAATTATTATCATTGATTTATAATAATTTTTTTTTATTAATTAAGTTTGTTTACCTAATTATTACTATTATACTTTTTTTCCTTCGGGATGGTAAAAATATTCGAATTTCAAAACTTATTATTGTTTTGTTTTTTTTTTTTTTGTTTGTTTGTTTGTTCATCTAGAGACACACAATGGAAAGGTTGTAAAAAAAAATTTTGTTAAAATATACAGCCAATAATACACAGAAATGATGTGATGTGTAATAAAGATTGTGTTTGATTTTAATACAAAATGTCTGATAAAATAATATAATAATATAATAATATAATATGCAATTCAATTCATCACATTTGTATCAAAGTGTTAGCTTTAAATATTATTTAAGCTGCTCATTCCTATTTTTCATTATTCATTTAAATTATGATCACTTATCAGTAAATTGTACCATATTTTTTAACATACTTACAATACTATATAATTCTAAATGATGTAAATTGTAAAAAAAAAAAATGAGATCATTTTTCAGCAAATGTTTCTGACCAACATTAACATAAATAACATTATAAACTTCACAAAATCAAAAGAAAACCTATTTAACATTATATATTCAGCTTTCTTAAAATAGTTTACCGCATTCCTCTTCTATATAATAATTTTCTCTGACGCGTTATTAAATAATTGGTGAATATTTGAGTCTTCCATAACGTCATTCTTGTAAGTTTTTACTAAAAATCTGTCATGTATGAGTTTTAATTTAAGTATCCATTAAAATAATATTTTTGGCTACTGAATGCAATCTGACAAGTCTACAAATATTGCTGTCTTTTGCACTAAAATGGCTAAAAAATATAGGCACTACAGTTACGAGTTGGTTTGACTGTTCAGTGTAGTTATGAATTTTGGTGCACTTTATCTGCCAATCGATCTTTAATTTTCTTTTTCATTTAAACCAAATACATTATAAGCAGGGCTGTATTTAAAAGGGGGCAATGGGGACATTTGCTCCGGGCGGCCAATTTTTTACTTATTTAGGTTGGGGGGGGGGGGGTAGCTGTGTATATTATATTTTTTATTTTGCTAAGAATTTGTTTGAGTAACTAGATGGGCTTTTTGCATTGCATGACTATGATACGGCCATTTGGCGTCGTTTACTCATTTTGTCAATGTATGATAACTATTTATTTTTGTAATTTTACACTCAAGTTTACAACTGTATGTTGTTATACATTTTGACAATAACTAAAGTAATGTCATACTATCATCGTCATGTTTTTAACAACATTTTCATAAATAAAGAAATACAATTAAAAAATGGATTAATTTTTATTTTTAGGTTTGGTGCAAAGCAAAGTGTTAATACGGGACCTTGATTATAACTTATAACCACATATCGCCGTTCCGGTAGAACAATGACGCAACTCCAAAATTTTTTATAAATGGCCTAAATGCTACAATGAGTTTAAATATAGCGTACGCATAATGTAGAAAAACGACGGAACTGTAGTTGTATTTTAGACCTCCAGAGGGCAATTGCGTCGTTGTGGAATTATCAGTTTGTACACTCATAAATAATTAACAATTTAGTTTTTTGGGTTTCCTGTAAAATTGCAATTATTGCAGTTGAGTCATTGTTCTACCGGGACGGCGATATTATATAGAATATAAATCTTTAAAATACAATGTTTTGTGCTGAGGTAAATGAGTTACATTTTTAACAATTTAAAATCCTATTGAATTAATGCATTAATTACAGTTCATAGTGGCAATTCCAATTTAAAATATATTTTAGATTCTGAGTGAAACGAAGAATTTGTTGATTTTACAATAATGTGTGTTTTTTTTTATTTTTTTTTTTTGTGTCTGTTAGTACAGTAAAAGTGCTTGGATTTTCTTCAACAGTAGCTTTTCTGATAGGAAAGTGAATCTAGTTGGTACTTAAGGGAGTCAAAAGTAAAAATTTCCCAATGGTTTTCAAAAGCGCCGTGAAAAACAAAAGAAAAATTAAGGAAAAACGGGAATTTTTAAGCAAAATCTGTTATCCAAAAAATCGATTTTGGTTTTTGATATAACTCTAAAACAAATGAACGTATATACATGAAATTTTCACTGGTTGTTTATATTTGCATTTTATATACACGATAACATTTTCAAAATATTTTGATTTATTTTGAACTGTTTAGGGACATTTTCATTTTCCATTGTTTTTTAGTTTTTTTTCTAAAAATATCAATAAAATTTTATTTGTTGGTTGCGAAAGCTTGAAAATTTAAAAGAAGACTCCTAGTATATTGTTTCAAAGGCAGATGAAAAATATTAAAAATCCTTAGTCGCAATTTTTTTTATAAGCATTTAAAGTTCAAAAATTGACAAAATATGGAATCACGAAAATTAGCAAATTATTTTGAGTTAAGAATTCGTAAAAATTTTTCTTTTTAAATCCAAGATTTGAAAATGTAATACAAGATTCCTTATAAGATTATCTACCTTTTTCAAAAAAAAATATCTATAAGAAAGTCGAATTAAATTTTTATGAGCGTTTGAAATTCAAATTTTTACAACATTGGATATTCACTCGATTTCTCATGTAGCGATTTCCTTTTTTTGTTGCAACTCAAAAACGAATAACTGTAAATACATGAAAATTTCAATGAATGTTTATATTAGAATTTCCTATACATCATAGAATTTTGAAAATATTTTGACTCTTTTTGAGCTGTTTACAGACATTTTTAGTTTTCAATTTTTTTAGTTTTTTTTTCTATAAATATCAATAAAGTTTTATCTGTTGGGCTAAAAAGTGTAAAAATTTAATAGAAGGCTAATGATATATTGTTACAATGGTAATTGAAAAATATTAAAAATACATAGGCACAATTTTTTTTTATAAGCATTTAAAGATCGAATTTTGACAAAATTTATCAAAATCTCGAAAATGATCAATCATTGTAATTAATAAATTATAAAATGTTCAGTTTTTATAGCTAAGGATTGCAAATTTAAAACAAAGGTTCTCATAAATAGTTCATACTGTAACCAAAAAATCTAAAAAATATATGAACACAGTTATTTTTTACAGACATTTTAAATCCAAATTTGGACGAAATTACATATTAAAATCAATATTAACGATCTTGGTTTTTCGTTGAAATTTAAAAATAGTATTCAGGGATATATGATACTTAATGGATATTGTGATATGATTAATTTGGAATTTATTATAGGTAGATATCTATTATAGGTCAATTTTTTTTTTAATACCATCGATAAGTATATATGTCTTATACCTAGATTGACATACCGTCTCCACTCAGAATCGTTTTTCTTATACAGTGATATTATATCATTGAATTCAAATTCAATACCATCCATTATACCATGACCCACTTGTAACCTACAGTACAGCAGAGCGACATCCACTTACCCACCTTTTTTTTTATTACCTTTAGTCTATGGGGCGCAAAGTTAATTGGAGTTATTGGAGTCCAGAAGAATAAAATAATGAAAAATGTCCAGAAAAAAAATTGTTAGTCTATGTTTGTATAATAGCAACAAGAAGACAAAATGAATTGACAGTCCAGATTTCCCCCTTACACTATTGCCAGTTGCTTTAGACCAGGGGTCGGCAACCTTTTCAACCACGCGGGCCATATTTTTTTTAAATTTTTCATCAAGGCCCACATTAAAAAAAAAATTACATATTATGATATAATACTTATAATTGTATTGCTGTAATATTTGATTATTTTACATAGAAATATGAGAGTAAAAAACACAATGTTACTGGAAAAATTGCATTTAAGAAAAAATTTAATTGAACAAAAAATTGTAAAGTTGTAAATTAATGCGATTTCTGTATCTGCAGTTTATTAGTTACATTTTCGATATCAGCTTGCAGACTTGTTGTTGAGACTCGTAATACAGCTCGTAAATGTTCATCACTAAGGCGCGAAGAGTGCTTTCTTTTTCTGTACTTCACAATGGAAAATGTCTGCTCACATATATATGTACTTGCAAACGCCGCTATAAGTTTTTGTGCGAATTGTCTGATTCCAGGGAAGGTAGATATTGGAAGACAACTATAAAATTGAGGCAAACTAGTTGTTTCCCGAAAAGAATTTTTTAGAACCTCGTCATTTTGAAGTACAATGACTTCCATTTGTAAATTATTCTTGACATTATTTATGTCCACTTGAAAAGGGTTCTGGAATAATTTAATTTCTTTATCGTATTTATAAAAATCATCAAATCTTGTTGAAAATTCGTTTTTTATTTGTTCAATGATTTTGAGAAATTTAGGTTTAATTAAATCCCACTGCAATGGTATAAATATAAAACGATGTTCATCACAAATTTTTCTTTTTTAGTTGCCATAATGTTTGAATTTACTTGTAAAATGAAACTATATTACAAACACAAACAGTCACACGTACGGTGTAATACTAATCGCTACAAACTCAAAGTAACTATATGAATATGACTGAGTAGTATGAGCAGCCATCATTATCTTCAACTCCAATTAGATAATAATAATTTTATAGATTAAACTGACTATTTAACTGTATAGAATTAACATTAACTATTAACGGTTAGATTAGATTTTATTTATAAAGGGAAAAGAATTATAAAATATTGAAAATTATATTAAAAATGTTATTGAACAAAAATAAACCCCCTTTGCGGGCCGCGGGTTGCCGACCCCTGCTTTAGACTGTCGTCCTCCTCTATACAATGAGTTAAAATTTATTTGGCCTAAATAATACAATTTTTACCTCTAAAACGAATGAATCTGTCGCAGACACCAAAATTATCAGTTATATTGGTTAAAATATATTATGATTTTAAATTCCTCATAAAATCAATGTTCACTATCTGTTCTGTTGACTTTAGAGGAAGTGACAGATTAGATTGCCTTGAAAATATAAATCACTATGAATAAATTACTATAACAATATCTTTAAGTGATTCTTTACAAAGTTCAGGATGTTCAGGTTAAAATCATATAGCATCGTAAATGTAATAAATTACAGTAACGGAAAACATTTGCTAAAATGTCAAAATAACTGATAAATCTTTTTGTTGTAAATTATTTTCTATAGAATGAGAAGTGCTAGGAAAAAATAATATGTTAACTATTTAATAGACTTTTAGGAATATTGTGGAGTGAGGTGTTTATTATTTCTAGAAATAAATTATACTTAAATAGGTTTTCCATCATTTTATTTGATACAAAACAATGTAAATCATGTCTTTAACATAAAATTAAACATCTGCCCTGACGTTCTGGGCAACTTTGTGACATTTTGAAAGATGGTCAGCAAACTCTGAGTATGGGGTCTTTTTGAGTGGTACATCCTTCCACAAATCGGGTGTCAAATAAGCGTACGTCTTAGCAATAGCAGCGTATGTAGCCTTGGCTATAATAACAAAACAAATAATTATTACAAAATATAATTCTTAGCCACATTTTAATTACTAAAGATAATATTTTATCTTTCTCACTTACCGAAATTGCCAAGAGTACCAGTGGAACCACGGGCAGAAGTGTAACAATCTTCAATTCCAGCCATAGTCAACAGTTTTTTTGGAACAGGGGCACTGACAATTCCAGTTCCTCTTGGAGCTGGGATCAAACGTACAGCAACCGATCCACACTTTCCTGTGACCTGGATGGAAAATATTACCAAGAAAATAAATTAATAAGTCAACAAATTTTTGAACTCAAACAAAATATCTAAACTTGATCATACTTTGCAGGGTACTGTGTGTGGTTTTCCAATTTTGTTTCCCCAGTAGCCTCGTCGTACAGGAACTACTGACAATTTAGCCAAAATAATAGCACCTCGAATGGCTGTTGCTACCTCTTTAGAGCACTTAACACCCAACCCAATGTGTCCGTTGGAGTCACCAATAGCTAAAATACATTCAAATAATGAGTGTTATTGATATTAGTATACATATTTTTATTAATCTATCTAAGTATTAAATATTAATCATCATGTTTATAAGATATTAAGATAAGTTATTTAACTGCTTTAGTTAAGCACAACCAAATGATTAACAATTGTGTAGAAGAGAAAAAACGAAATCCAAGAATACGTTTAGGTAGCCTTATATAAAACTACTTTCAAGTGGTTTATTTTAAAGTTTAAATTCATTTAAAATGTAGTTGAATAACAGCAACAAAAATAGTTATCGATACACTGTTATGCATTATACATACCGACAAAAGCCTTAAATCTGGTACGTTGACCTGCACGTGTCTGTTTTTGGACGGGCATGATTTTCAAAACTTCATCGTTAAGCGAAGACCCAATGAAGAAGTCAATGATTTCGAATTCCTAACAAACACACACAATTAATAAATGTTACAGCCTACGCGCCAAGCACTCCTCCACGGCGCGCCGCATGCTGCCAAAAGCTTCGGACCCATCGATGGGTGTAGGCCGAACAATTGAGCTTACCTTGATCGGCAACGAGAACAAGTAAATCTCTTCCAAAGATGAGATTTTGCCATCCTTCACCAGACGGCCAAGCTTGGTGACTGGCACCCATTCCTTTTCGGCTTCCTTGCCTCTTCCACGGCCACGACCGCGTCCACGTCCTCTGCCACGGGACCCTCCCCTGCCGAATCCACCGCGGAAATTACCGCGAGTTTCTGCCATATTTAACTGTGAACAAGCACCAGTGTGGTCTTAAGATCAATCACGAATATTCACATTAGAGTATTAGATACACGTCACGTCGCACGCCGTCATGGCGCACACATGAACGTCGGGTTGACGAAATTTATGTAAGACCGGACGGCATGCTAAACGTCATGCGGTCCGGTAGCGGATGTATACAAATTAACTAGACTTACCTTTGGTGAAACGCCGTCAGAGAAAAACAAAAAGTAAGTGAACGGGAAAGAAACAGGGAAACGTGTAGAACTCGGAACCGAAGTGTGATCCCGTTCCTAGATAAAAGACGGAAAACTCAAAGAGTCGAAAAGACAGATTGTTGGTTATGTTGTCGTGCACTCGTGCACAGTGCGCACCGGCTAAATGTCGGTGAGTAGAACATCTTTGAGGTCATGTTACCTACACTGGATGTTCCCCCTCTTATCAAAGCACGGATGCCCGCTGCGTAGTGAATTTGAAATTACCACGGACGATGGACCTTATACCATTTTTGTATTATTAATAATTATAGGACGTCGTATAATAGAATACCTATATGGAATAAATTCTGTGGTCGTATCTCGTATATAGTTTGTTAATTGTTATATAATTATTATTAATTTCGTGCCCGGCAGTGATCGGAGAAAATGTTATACTATAGGAATTTTACTCAGTACAGTAAATTTAAAAACATTTATTTATAACCACATTTGTTTTTAATGATTCACAAAAAAAAAAATATACTTTTATGAAAATATGCATGTGCTCCCAATATTTATACACCATCTTAAATCTTAATCAATAATTAAATTAATAAATTAAAATAATAATTGAAATAATATTTTATATAATTATAATTCAAATTCAAAACTATAAACTAGTTTGGTTGTTGTCATATCAAATTTCAATGAACTATGAATCATAGTTCATGATTCTTCCTAATCCTTAATATGGAACTATTTGATAAAAAGGGCATTATATATTTATATTCAAAGGTGGGCATTAACTAGTTGGAAAGTTAAAGTTCAGTTAAAAAGTTAATTTTTTTTAACTTTTTAACTTAACTAGTTAGTTTATTTTCTAATCAACTTATGAACTTAAATATTTTAATTTACAATTGAAATAACTTAGCTTTTCTCAGTTGATTTAAAAAAATTCATTAAGTTATAACATTTTGAAATTGTTCGTTTATACTTAAATATTACGAATTTCGAACTCTCATAAAAATTTAATTTGACTTTCTTATAGACATTTTTTTTTTTGATAAAGGTAGATAATCTTATAAGGAATCTTGTATTACATTTTCAAATCTTAGATTTAAAAAGAAAAATTTTTACGAATTCTTAACTCAAAATAATTTGCTAATTTTCGTGATTTTTCCATATTTTGTCAATTTTTGAATTTTAAATGCTTATAAAAAAAAATTGCGACTAAGGATTATTAATATTTTTCATTCGCCTATGAAACAATATAATAATAGCCCTCTATTTAATTTTCAATCTTTTTTAACCAACAAATACAATTTTATTGATATTTTTAGAAAAAAAACTAAAAATATATGGAAAATGTTCCTTACCAGTTCAAATCAAATCATAATATTTTGAAAATTTTATCGTGTACAGTAAATGCTAATATAAACATTCAGTCAAAATTTTATGTATCTACGGTCACTTATTTAAGGGTTGCACCAAAACCAAAATTATTTTTTTCGAAAACGGATTGTGTGTAAAAATTCCCGTTCTATTTTAATTTTTCTTTTGTTTTTCACGGCACTTTTGAAAACTTCTAAAAAAATTATACTTTTGACTCCCCAAAGTACCAAAATTCCATTAGATGGATAATTACGAACGTTTGGATGTATTTTATAAGGATTTCGCAGAATTTCTGGCAGGGTAGTCATACATAAGTACATAACACATTAACACACACACATATTACGTATATATATTCATATTCAGTATTCACATCTAAGTTATTAAATTAATTTGGATGGGGTAACCTCGTTTAACTACATTTACGATAGTAAAAAAGTATTTTATGATTGACTATCAATTATCATGATAATAATAATGAATATTGCGGGGGAAAGTTCGCAGAGTAGTCAAGTGCCTACCATGACTACCCCGTGAGCACCACTGTGTGTATTATTTTATATTATACAATTGAGGTACTTTGAAAATTGTACTTTGTAAAATGAAACACATTTATATCATATTGAAATAAATTCAATTATAATTGTTGAGTTCAACGAATAAAACAATTTAACTAACGAAAATACCTAATTAAACACAAACTTATTTTAAAAAGTTTTTTTTATATAAATATAAAAAAAAAATAGACCGCTCGACCATTCCGTCCCCCATATTATTACCTGTTAGGTATAATATTATAGGGTATTACCACAATACCACTGCCCACTGGGTATCCTATAACTAATCGCATGATTCATGTTAACCTTTTATTATTCACTTACCAAACCTACTTATTGTATAAAAATTAATGTATAGATTGTAGATTTATTTAATTTAAAAAAAAAAAAAAAATTATTTGATAATATAATCACTAATTAATAAATGCGTAACTAAAAAAAATATAATTAATCAAAATATCTATAGGTACTGCAGGGTAAACACCACACGACTTTTTTTTTTATCCTGGCATGATTTTGTTGGTGGCACAGTCTGTCGGGGGGGGGGGCGTACCCACCCGGCCCCTCTCGTAAACACTTCTATGTTCACAATAATATCATCAAATATATTTAGTAATATTATAGACTGACTGACCGTTTTCGCTCAGAATCGTTTATCTTATACAAATATACAATGATATTATATCATTGGATTCAAATTTAACACCATCCATTACAGTGATCAACTTGTATACTACTGTACAGCAGAGCGATTTTTTTTTACATTTAATAATAACGATAATATTACCCAATGGCCAAACAAACGTTTCTATTATCAATTTTATTTTTTGGTTCGAACGTCTATAAAAACGACATTAATAATACATTAGCACATCATATTTTCATACCATATCAATATGTATCCATAAACCTATTACATACTTAGGACAGTAAAAATGCTTGGATTTTCTTCAACAGTATCTTTTCTGACAGGAAATTGAATCAATCTGGTTGGTACTTTGGACGGTCAAAAGTAAAAATTTCCCAGTAGTTTTCAAAAGCACCGTGAAAAACAAAAGAAATATCTATTATTAATATTATTTGAATTATTATGAGTATTTTATCTATAAAAATCCAATTTTGGACACTAATTTATTACCTAGTGCCTGGTTCCTAACACTTATAAATATTTTAATTTTTAAGAAATTGTTGTTTTTAGTGACTTAAAATGGTGTAAAAAAACGTTCAAAGCTTATGAAATAATTAGTGTCTTACATTAAAATTAATATTTAATATCCTATAAATTGTCATATTATATATTATCTAGCTAGTATAGGTACTCGTATTGAACACGTTACAAATACTTTATTTCTATTGATAATATATCATGCCCTATAGTGGGCTCTGTGCAATAACATATATGTATAATATACAGCATAATATATATTTTGTTAGGTAGTTAGCTAATATTATTATAGAATAAACATAATACTGATAACAATACAATCTGAATGAGCGCCACTCACAGAAAGATTGACAAGAATTCTAAATGGCAAAACTATACTCTAATATAGAACATTCTAAAGAAAAATATAAAATTACTAAGCAAATTGGAGAAATTCAAATCCACGGAGACCTTTATTACACATCGTTTTTCTTGTAAAATCGCAGGGTTTTTGATTTTTTCGATGTAACTTGTTGTTACATTTTTTTGGTCATTGATCAAAAGCTTAAAAATTCAATAATATCAAATAAAACCAAATAAATTACATAACAATAATAACGTTTATTAGTATAAATACTAAATGTAGGTACACAATATTACGGAAATATAGCCATATATTTTATAATCTATAGGTAGGTATCATCTTTTTACATAAACACTTCTTTTGATCCAGGGCTAGAATTCTGACCGCAGGGCAGAAGTAACCTCTGTCAGCTACTGCAGATCATTGGCTATTAATTCCACAGTGCCTTTTAAACGTCGCTGCAGTCTTGGCTCCCTCCCCTCTCGCCTTTATTACGCCTGTGTAATACGCCAAGGTGAGCTTTTGTCCTGAGTTCACAGCTCTTTTGTGTCCAGCTAGACGCCGTTTTGTTCGCCGGACACTTTGAACAAATCCTCCGTTTAGGCTCGTCTTTTTTTGGCGTTCGCCAGGCAGACATTTTTTTGTCCTCTTGTTTGTTGAACCGTTTCGTCCATCGGCACCGGCTTCGGCTCTTTTCCGTGTCTTGCGCCACGTCGTTTTCGTTCCCGTTTCCTCTAGTAATACTCGTTTTTACCTACAGCTTTTTCCACAGCGGTTATATTTATCAAACTGATAACAGTATAGTCACATGGTTTATTTATTGACTACCAGACTACCTACCAGCTATTATTAATTTGTCAACAGGAATATTAAATTGATTTTTGACTTGCTGTCATGTTTAAACTTTAATTGTACATCACCGTTATAGTTGTACTTTTAATTTTAAGTTGTTAGTGTTTAAAGCATCTTAGCATTTTCACTAGTTACGGTATTTTTAAGCATCTGGTTGTTTGGGTATTTAACTTGTTGGTGGTAGTTCTCTGTTTCTGTATTTCTGAATAATCAATTATATTGTATTCATAATGGATTAATTCATTAAGTTCTTAAAAAATAATAATATCATTGCGGTTCTATCAAATGAAGTTTCTAATATTAATATTAATAATGTTAATGAAGTCACCTTACTGTGCTGGCATACCCAATATTTATGAAACATGACTCTGAAAAAAAATGTCTTATACATTAATATTAATCAAATAATGAGAACTATTTGTACTTACCTTGATGGATTGTCAAGCTGACCAACACGAATCCCTTTAGTTTTCGAAAATTCTTAGTAAAACATT